AAAATTTTTTTTTTTTTTTTTTTTTTTTTTAACCATCTTCTTAAAAATCTTGTTTCAGTTTCTTCAGTGTACAGTGTTCCTCCTGCTACTGGCTTTGTACATATTATTCTTTCTGGACCTTGTGTCTTATCTGATCTCAGCCTAACTTTAACTTCAGGGGACCTTCCTACTTCTTTAAGTGAAATTTAATTATTAAATAGTATAATAAGATGGTGTACCCTGTTAATCTATTGTTCTGATATATTTCTTTTTTAAACAACAAAACCTTTACTAAGCTCTTTGACATGAAAACCAAACCTGATTTTGTTCATCCTTTTGTCACATGCTACCAGGCACCAATAATAAGCACTTAGTACCTATTAGGTAAATAATGTATAGTTAATTACTACCTTAGCAGGGTTTACATTGTGTCTGGAAATAAGGATCTCCAGCCACATTGATTTGTCCTGGATTTTAAGTTATCTAATAGTGAGAGAGTTAAGCAAGTCAGGAAAACATTACAGTAGTGCATGTTTCTGTAGGATGTGCCGGATGATCTTGATGGTGCTCCCATTGAGGAAGAGCTTGATGGCGCACCGCTGGAAGATGTGGATGGAATTCCCATTGATGCTACTCCCATTGATGATCTTGACGGAGTCCCTATAAAAAGTCTTGATGATGATCTTGATGGAGTGCCTTGTAAGTTCATATTTCAAACATTAGGACTAACAGGTTTAACTGACAAAATGCTTTAATTTTTGCACATGATGTTCTGTTCTGGAGAAATGTTTTAATTTTTGGGTATGTCAAGTCACCTTTTCTGACCTTTTAAAACTCAGGTATTTAGCAATATGTTTGACTATGGCAAGGAAAGGGCTTTATTGTTGTTGTCTTTCTTTTTTTGGAACTGTCACTCTCCTGTAATAATAGTTTTTTCTTTTCTGTCTCAGTTGTCTGAAAGCCATAGGCAACATCTTGTGTTTGTTTCATAGTCATAACGTCACATGCCCAATGTATTCTGTTCTCCTGTTTGTTTTCCTGCCTAAAATTACATTAAAGTGTTGAATAAAGTATGAACTTTGTAGTTTAGAAAATAATTTAGCATTTATTTATCTATTTTTATCCCTCTCACCTCCATATGCTTACAGTATTAACTGAATTTTCTAGGCAGTTGTTCTTTGTCCATTTTCTGCCTTGCTGTTCATGCTTAAAATTACCCATTGCCAACTTTGGTCTACAAATATTAAATGAAAAGTTCAAAAGAATTCACAAATTTTAGGTATCAGAGTACATTCTAGCAGTTATTCTTTTTCATGATTGTATTTACAACTCTTTTACTGTGCCTAATTTGTAAGTACCTGTGGATAAGAGACATGGTAAGCATATAATTGAGAGCTGTTCAGAGCCAAGCCTAGAGGTCTTGGAATGTGGCTGCTATGGATAAAAAGAGGGATTACTTTGCATTGCTTAAAATAGGGTTTGAAGCAAAACTGAGTTAATTATAATTCTTGTTCTTGATACTGTCAATGTTTTTCTACATGTGGACTTACTTTTATTAGCTTTTTGATAAGCCTATTAGTTTGAGTCATCCCCTGATATACTTAATAGCTCATCATTTCTTCAATAGTGGATGCAACTGAAGATTCAAAGAAGAATGAACCCATCTTCAAAGTTGCCCCGTCAAAATGGGAGGCTGTAGATGAATCTGAATTGGAAGCACAAGGTGAGTAAATTACAAACATTGAGCTTTTAAACAGTTGTGTACTGGGGTAGAGGTGTCATTCAGTGGTATAGTACTTGCCTAGCATGTGTAAGGCACTGGGTTGAATCCCTAGGACTTGGTGAGGGAAAGAAAATTGAGTTCTTATAATAATTATTGGTACCTTTGTATTTGCATGTGTATGTTTTCTTTGTGTTTAAAACCTCAGACACAGTGCTTCCATGTTTTAGGTCTATCATAAGCATTCATTGGTTGTCAGTGCTCCTGTAGTAACTGTTTTAGAGCCTTCAGTTTGGAAGCTTTGAGAGTACAATCAGAGAAATCATGAAAAACCTTTCAGGTCAAAGTGTTTGAATAGAAAGTGTAGATGGAAAGCACCATCCATTTGGAAATCCCACAGTGTTTATTAGATCTAGTTTACATTTGCCTTTCTCTTTACACTTACTTGGACCCATATCTGTTAATATTTGTTGGTCTGATAAATAAATAAATCTTTCCATTCACCATAGAAATAAATGTGACAGTGTTTTTAATCATTCCTGAATCTCCATGGTTATAGTGTAGGTATGAAAAAAAAAGATGTATAGAACATGAAGGTGATACAAGCTTAAGATAAAAGCTTCTGTAATACAAACGTTAGCTATGAAGTTGGGCTTCTACTGTGCTGTAGCAAAAATGCTAATTTACCTTTCCCTCTGCAGCTGTAACAACTTCTAAGTGGGAGCTATTTGACCAGCACGAAGAATCAGAAGAAGAAGAAAACCAAAAGTAAGAATCTAAGTTTCACACATATCCAGTTCCCCACACATAAACACTCCCTTGTTTACTGACAGGTGTGGTTGAAATAATAGTGAAGAGGATAACTTCACCTTCAGATCCTTGTGGGAGAATCATCTTTAGTCTCCATCATTTTTTTCCAGTGAATAAAGAGCTTTGGTCTCAGGTTTTTGCAGCAGTCTTCACCTTGCTGGGTTTTCTGCCCAGGGCTATGCATTTCTGCCTTGTAGCTAATATTTCATCAGTTGTATTTGTTCCAAATCTTTGTCATCAAATATTGTTTTAGATCCAAAAAAAGGTGATTTTTAAAATGTTGAGTGGGAAGATTATACTCTTTTCCTTTTGGATAGTCCATCACTAAGTACTGTTTTGTTATTTTAAATGTAAACATGTCAGAAGAACTAGAAAGGAATGGGGGACGGGGGCTTTGTGAGTGTAAAGTAATTATGATGTTGGTAGTTTTCTCATTTGTAGTCATCATAGAATTATTTTTGCCTTTGACATTATGGTGGTAAGAACCTAAAGTTTGTATTGATAAGTTTCATGAAGCTTCATACTTTTTAAAGTCATTGCTGTGAATATTGAGTTTTACAGATAATTCTGGGAAGAGTTTTTGTTTTGTAAAAACTAGTCTTTTGTTCTTAGATGGAAGAAGAAAAATGGGGAAGCACTTTTGTTGTCCCAGCATAGAATGTCATTTGTATGCAGTTGTGTGTATTTGTATGCAACTGATGGGTTGCAAGGAAGTATACTCAGTCAGTAGTTTGTAGACAGTTTGATGGCATGAGGGAACTGACAGTGAGGTTAGTGTGACTGGAACAAGTTGGTAATGATGAGATACCAATGACAATAGCTCTCTGGAACTGCAGAGTACTAGAGTTGAACAATTTAGGTTAGTTTTCCTTGTAACTGTTTTCATTGACTTTGTGTTCAGGACTATCATTAGCAACATCTCAAAACGTTAGCATAAATATATGCTGTGCTAATCAAATAATTTTTAAATTTACAGTGAAGGGTAGAAAGTTCATCAAAGAACTCCAGATACATTGTTAGGTTCATTTTCTGAAAGCATTGGGTTTGGGGGGCATAAAATTGATTTTTGTGTGACTGTATTGTATGAGTGTGTTAGTATTGATGTTGACTTGCACATAGCTTTCCAGTTCTTCAGAATTTCTTACAGTTCACTGCTGCTCTCTAGTGGCTGGATCAGAAATGCCTTTTTGCTGAGGGCTGCTTTATATACTAAACTGTTGCATTTTCACTGAGATGGAATTTAAAATTAGTACTTGTAACAGGTGGAAAGAAATGCTAAAAATGGTCTATAGCAGGAAGCTATGGCTTAGAGGTTAATTGCACTTTTTGCTTCTGAAGAGGATCAAGATTTGATTCCTAGTACCTGCATTGAGATTCACGCCTATCCTTAACTCAGTTTCAGGGTTTTCAAAACCCTCTCCTGATGTCCATGGGCAACAGGCATGCACACAATACACATACATGCATTCAGGCAAAGTGCTCATACACATAAAATAAAACAAATCTAAAGTAAAAAAAGTGCAGGCTTCATAAACATATAAAACAAGAACCAAATAAAGAGCTAGCTTTCAGGATCAGCTGAAACGTAACAGTTGAAGTTTTCTAATACTCAAACTTTATATGGAGCTTTACTCAGTATAATGTGCTAATCACATAAGCTCCTATGTGTTGGATTGATAGTTTTATGGTAAGTGTGACAAATCAATTATTTCCCGATGATAGCTTCTGCAGAAGGAGGGGTAAATATTTGGCTTTTAAACACAAACCTTCACTGAACTGAGGAATATGTAACACTCATTGGTTATTCCTTTTATTTGCTTTCACAACAGTGTTGCAGAATGAAAAGCACACTGGTAATAGTAATACAGAATTTATTAAAAGCATGGTTATATTATTATATTGAAACTCAACTTTTTCTGCAGAAGGAAACATTTTAAGAACTGTCTAAAATATTATTTGACCAAATATTTGTTCAGAAACTTATAGATATTCCAAAGTATCATTTAAATTCCAAGACAATGAGAAACAAATACCCAAACTGTAAAATACAATATTTTGTTTTCCCTATTGTGACATGCAGTGTATTCTCTGTTTCCAAAGTCAAGAAGAAGAAAGTGAAGATGAAGAAGACACTCAGAGTTCCAAATCAGAAGAACACCATTTGTATTCTAACCCAGTCAGAGAAGAAATGACTGAATCTAAGTTCTCTAAGTACTCTGAAATGAGTGAAGAAAAACGAGCTAAGCTTCGTGAAATTGAGGTTTGTATTGCATTAAAATACTACTTCAGTGGCCTTTAACATTCAAAACCAAATTAACTTCCCCTTGGCACCACATTGTCTCTGCTTGAAAACCTCCATAGGAATTAACATAGCCTATTAGTTCAAGTATCCCCTTTTCTCAACGCTAGCCTTGTTTTTCTTTCTATATTTGTTTCCTGCCCTGCTTATCTCTGTGATTTTACTTAGGATGTGTGTTTGTGTATTTTGTCCTCTGTTCGAATGCATGGCATACAGGAGAGCCTTTGAGGAAATGGATTCCAAGGAATAGGTAAAACCATTCAGTTTTGAATGCATACCATATATAACTAGGAAAAAGTAAAATATTTTCTGGTACATTCAATTTAGGTTTATATTTTATTAATTATAGTAGTTTATTTGAAAGGTTTCATGGTAAGTTGTAGAGTATGCATTGCCCGAGTCTTAACATTAATAAGAAAGAAAACAATAGGTGGGCAAGCCCAAACTATATCAGGCAAACTTTGCCCTCCCCTCTTAGTCCTTTCTTTTTTACAATGCTGTTTTGTATCCCAGGCTGCTTGGACTTGTAGAGAAGTATTTGAGAACTTTAAAATAAATGGTATATATTAGCTATATATGAGTTCCATGACATTTTCATGCATTGACCCAATGTATTTTGATCATATCTAACTCCCATTACCCTCTTTTGTCCCCTCTACTCCCCACACTCCCATTGAGCCTCTTCCTGTTTCCAATCAATCTTAATACTTTTCGTGACTGGTAATTGGGTGTGTGTGAGCGCGCGCGTGCAAGTGCGCCCTTGCATGTGTGCATCTCCCAGTGAATTTTTGTTAGGTTTGCTTTGGGATTTTGAGTGGTAAGAGCTTATTTACAGGGAAGTCTTCACATGACAACCTGTAACTGTTACAGATCCTCAGGGAGGGACAAAACCTCATGAGGAGAGAAGCATTATTGAGTGCTCAAGGTGATAAACTTTCCCAACAAAACAGCCAGTTCGTCTAGAACTTGAAAAGAATGTATGAGAGTCTTCAATCCATAGCACCCATTTAATAGTAACGTTGAGTGCCTGCTCTGTGCCAACATCTTTCTTGTTGTGATACCTACTGTATTGGTGCTCTCCTTTCCACCTCTCTACATAATCCCTGGTAGGCATATTCTTTCTCACTACCTCTTTCCCCACTATCACCAAACCAATGAAAGAAAGCATTTTATTTTAGCCCTGTGCAGATTTATCACAATTCCAGTCTATAAGTAGGGATAAGAAGCTTTAAGTTAGTAATTTAATTCATTTCCCCTATAGTACACACTTTTTGTTCTCTAACAGTTTTAGAGGAATGGGTATTGTATAGCAGTGAACACACTCACTGTTGGACTTTTCTCATCCTATGAAACCTTTTGTAACTCACTAAACCGTCTGCCTACCTGAGAAGCCGAGAAGCCCTTCCTACTTTGACAAAGCTACTAAGAGTAGAAATAAACTATGCATGATGACCCCTGCTTGCAGTCTTAGATACTTGGGAGCCTGGGGAAGGAAGAGTATAAGTTTGAGACTTACATGAGCTACTTAGAGAGTTCAAGAACAGTCTGGGCAGATTGTCTCAAACTAAAAAGAGAGTGGGGGAGGGAGGTAGGTGTGTGTGTGTGTGTGTGTGTGTGTGTGTGTGTGTGT